GCCGCAGAGCGAGATGCCACCAGTGGTGCTGCACGCCCATGTGCAGCAGCATTGTCCGCACCGACTCCACCACCGTCCTCATCTCCCGCTCCGCCATGCCATTCTGCTGCGGGGTGTAGGGGCATGTCAAGTCGTGAACGATGCCCTTGCTGTCCACGAAGGCGGTGAAGTCCTTTTCGAGGAACTCCCCTCCGCGGTGAGAGCGCAGTTGCAGCATTGAATGCTTCGCCTGCCGCTCCACCAGCACGAGCCACTTCTGGAACTCCAGCAGCACGTCCGACTTCTTGGCGACCGGCCGCACCCACACGTAGGGGGTCTTGCGGTCCTTGAGCAGCAAGAAATACAGGCTTCCGTCTTTGGCAGCCACGCAAAATGGCCCGCACAAGTCGATGTGCACGACGGCCAGGACATCGTCTGCTTCGGAGCCGTGGTCGGGGAAGGTGTGCCGCGCCAGCTTCCCGCCGATGCACGAAACACACGGTGAGTCGGCGCCAGACACCGACTTGAGGTCCAGCTCAGTGGCGACCTCGTGCTTCGCCGAGCTCCGTATCGTGTCTATGCCAATGTGCGCAAGCCTCGCATGCAGCCTGCTCGGGGTTGCCTTCGTTGCCGAGACAATCGCCTGCAGAGCCACCTCCTCTTTTGCGGGCGTCGTCGCCTTTTCCGCGTATGGGCATAGGTCAGTGCAGAAAATCCGGCCGGTGTACGTCGCTCGACCGAATACGTCCCCCGCCGCGGAGACGAGCAGCATCCGATCTCCGTCGCTTTTCAGCGTCATTCCGCTCTCCTTCAGCTGGCGAGCCGAAAGTAGTTTCGCCTGCACAGGCGGGATGTAGAGAACATCAGAGATGAGCACTCGCTTCCCGGCCACCCCTTGCAGCGCAACCGTGCCACGGCCTGCGAACGTCCTGCAGCTCCCCATTGAAGCCACGCACGTGCTTCACGGCGCCGCTCGGCCCCAATTCGACGAAGGCTTCCTTCGTCCCCATCAGGGGGTGCGAGCAGTCGCTGTCGAGCTGAAACAACGCAGCGTTCGCCTGCACAGCTGCCGCCACCGCTTGGAAATTCTCGCCAGCTTCCGGCGCCAGCGAGACAGTCGGCTCCACGATACCGACCAGCGAGCACGACGCCTCCTTACCGTCGCGCCCTTTGCCACCCGCGGAAGAGTCGGCGTCCTTCGCCGAGGTCGATTTCGTCGACTGCTTTTCCTTTCGCGATTGGTTTCCTCGACGCGGACGACGGCTGCCGGAACTTCCGCGGCCTCCCTTCGCGTCGTCGTCGTCGGAATCGCTGCGGTCGGGGCACTCGAAGGAGAGGTGATCGGGATCGCCGCACAGCCAGCATTCCCGACGTCGACCTCCTCCTCCACGACCGCCATCCTTGGACGACTTCTCCTTGTCAGCGTCCTTCGCTGGCTTCCCGCCACCGCGGTGACTGCCACCAGACTGCCCGCGCTGTCCCAGGCGACCACCTTGTTTCGCGGGGGCCGCGAAATTTACTTGCGCGAGGAGCTCCTGGGGACCGCTCAGCCTCCTGCATCGCCTCGTCCTGTAGGATGTACGAGGTCAGTGTGTCCTCGTTGAGCGTCGCCCGCGTGCTCGGCGTCATTGACAGCCGCTTCAGCAGATTGTAGCTGCTCGGGAGTCCTTGCATGACGTGCATGACGTACGAAGCCGTCGAGTATTCCGCGCCAGCCATCCGAATGGTGGCAAGAATTCGCCGAGCTCGATTGCAGTAGTTAGTCGCGGTCTCCTTGTCGCCTATACGCAGATGCGTCAACTGCCCCTCAAGCTGGGAGATGAACAAGTCGTCGGTGACCTGGTAAGTTGACTTGATGAAATGCCACGCCCAGTGGCCAGCGTCGAGGTACTCCCTGCACGACTTCAGGGCGATCTGTACGCTCGGCGAGCAGCACCGCGAAATGACCGTATAGGTCAGCAAATGCACGGCGCGAAATTCCGCTCGCAGGTCGGGGTAGTGCTCCTCCGGCGTCACCACGGTCCCTCGGGCGAAGCCTATCAACCTGGCCATCTCTAGCTGGGGCTCGATGGCTTCCTTCCACGTGAGGATGTCGGGATGACCGACCAGCGGAGGGGTGACCGAGATCCTGTCCGGCGTGAACTTGAAGTAGCCGTAGCTTGGCGCAATTCCTCCCGCGGTCACGTGTGTCGCCGACATCGGCGTCAATTCACTTCGTCTGCCTTCGACGTAGTTTCGCGGGGCCCCTGCAGCCGCAGACGACTGCATCCCTCGCGCCTGAACGCCGCCGACTTCATTGGCGCGAATCACACCTCGTTGCCTCGATATGCCTTTTCGCTCCCACCGACTTGGTCACCACCTACGTTAGCGTCCGCGTTGACGCCACTCGCGTTGTTCACCGGTCGAGGAGACGCAGGCCGAGAGGGAGGGTGCTCCGTCGCCCACAGGGAGCGGATGCCAGCCTCGACGACCGTTTAGGGGATGTCGCCATACTCGTTGGCCTCGTGTTTTCTCCTCGCGTCCTCCAGCCGTGATTCCAAGGTGTCCACCACCCCTCCGTCACCTACGGCTCCTACCATAGTGACTACCGCACAGCTGCTGGTCTACGAACAAGCTAGGTGAGTAAGAAGTCAGCTAAACCAAAGGTTTCGTCGCGGTGTCGTCCACGCTCACCGCACCATGCGGAGATAACTAGTGCAACGGGAGCTAGACTGCAGGCTAGGCACGGGGCAAGAGTGATCGTAGCGTTCGTTCGTTCCTTAGTCGTTTCCAAGTGCTAATACTGTTTGCTAGTTCACGGGGAAAATCGACAAGAGTTTCACTAGAAAAACATGAGAACAAAATTTCAGAATGATTGCATCAACATTGGCAACACTGACTACATCAGACCTCGCAAAGCTTGCTGGTCCACTGCCAGCGCAGCACGGTCGACCGCGTGCCAGCACAACTCTGTCGACCGCGCTCCAGCAGAGCAGAGTCGCGGCTTGCCAACGTTGCAAGTCCGCGGTGCGCCAACGCTGCAGTATGTCGGTTGCACAGCGTCGCATCCGCGGGACAACGGTGCACCAGCTTCGCAGGTGCGTGCAGCTGGTTGACGCCCAACTCCCCGTTATATGCCTAGTGCCGACACTTCGCCCGTGACGGCGCCCACCAGCCACGTCGACCTCGGGATACCACCCCCGAGATCGCCATCGTAGATAACATCCCGGGCGACTTTCGCGTACGTCGCCCGGATATCCTGGTTGACCGGGTACTTCGCGGTCCTCCCGCGGTTTCTCGGTCACCGCGGTCCTCCGCGGTTTCGTGGATCCACGATCGCCCGTGATTTCGTGGCTCCGCGGTCCCCCACGATTTCGTGGCTTCGCGGTCCCCCACGATTTCGTGGCTTCGCGGTCCCCCACGATTTTGTGGCTCCCACGGGCCACTGCAATTTCGTGGCTCCCACGAGCCACTGCAATTTCGTGGCTCCCACGGTCGGCTCCGCCCAAGCGAGGACGGGGCCAATAACAACTCCCGTTGACAGGTTGGTGGGTCAGCATGTTTCACATCACATCATCATCAGGTGACATTGCATCGCATCTCTTTATCTCACATGCCCGCTCTCTTGTTTTTCAATCCTCAACTAATTTTGAGCCGCCAAAAAAGTCTTCAACAGTTTTTAGGCTTGTGACTCACACAGGCTAAAGGTCTTCAGCCAAAACAAGTTCAAGCTTTTGACAGGTTTCACAACTACCTATCACTTCAGGATACTACAAGTTACATCGGATCGGATCGTGTGGCATCACGCAAACGCATAGCCTTTTATTCTGCCCCCTTTCTAGTCACCTCACCTGCCCCTTGTTCTAGTCACCTGCACCTCATTGCCAGGCTTTCTCCAGCTGGGCTTTCTCTCAACGCGCTGCCATGTACATTCGAGTCAACTCAAAGGTTATCCTCCATCTCTCCTTGTTCTGACTGCAGGGCTTTCAATGCCGAGCGCCCATCCCTGTAGACACTCTGGTCAACGTCACCAGCCGGGCTTTCTCCCAATGCACTGCCATGTACACCGCTAATTATGTACGTGCCATTGTGTCGCAGTATTTTCCAGTGCGTTTATATAAGTGCCAGTGCGTTTATGTAAGTGCCAGTGGGTTTATATAAGTGCCTAGGGATGAGCAAATGGCGAACACGAACATGTTCGTGTTCGCCTAGGCTCGAACATGGCCGTTCGGCGAACCGAACATTTACACCAGAAAGGGTGTTCGAAGTTCGCCAAGAGAGGCGAACATTTCGTACGTTTTGGCGAACACGAACACGTTCGCCCAGAACATGTTCGCGTTCGCCTTAAAGGACCTTCTCAGATCCAAGTAGAGTGAAATCCAAATGTTTCACATTCCCTCCCCCCACCCCGCAAGCCAGTCCCGCCCTGCTAGAACCGCCCATGCTAGTTTTTCGCTTAAGCAACGGCGAAATGCTAGATCTGAGCTTAAGCAACGGCGAAATGCTAGATCTGAGCTTAAGCAACGGCGAAATGCTTGATCCGCACTTAAGCAACGGCAAAAGGCCTTGATCCGCACTTAAGCAACGGCAAAAGGCCTTGATCTGAGCCCAAACACCAAGGCCCGCGCCCTAAAAATTGGTCGCGGGCCTATTCGTCGACGAACACATTGGCGTTCGTCGAAGGCCTGTGTCGAACACGAACACGTTCGTGTTCGACGCGCCTCGGCCAGCTGAGCCGGGCGAACGGCGAACGTGTTCGGGCGAACACCGAACACGTTCGCCCCGAACAATTTAGGCCAAAAAAAAAAACCTGTTCGGTTCGCCTCGAACACGTTCGAGGCGAACCGAACAGGTGTTCGTCATATTGCTCATCCCTATAAGTGCCTTTGAGCCTAACCTCAAAACTTGCCACCCTCATCACTGCTCATTCTGAATCTCCGCCTGTATTTGCAGTTTCCCCTCCCCTCCCTCCATTCACACTCCCTCCATCTGCCCCCTCCCTCCGTCTGCTCACTCCCTTCATCCCCCCCTTCCCTCCCTCCATGTGTGCCGGCAGGGTAACTAGTACGACTCGTCCCCCAACGCCCTCCTTTCTCTTTCCCTGCCACTCACTCACCTCTTTCCCTGCCACTCACTCACCTCTTTCCCTGCCGCTCACTCACCTCTTTCCCTGCCGCTCACTCACCTCTTTCCCTGCCACTCACTCACTCACCTCTTTCACCTCTCTCCCTGCCACTCACTCACCTCTTTCCCCGCGACTCACTCACCTCTTTCCCCGCGACTCACTCACCTCTTTCCCTGCCACTCACTCACCTCTTTCCCTGCAAGTGTTGGCCTTCCCACCACTTGCCTCAAGAACCCTACTCCCTCCATCTTCCCACCCCCATCCTCGGTCCCTGTGTGTGTGCAGGTTGGCAAGTGTGAATCCACTAACCCCCTATTCTCCATTCAATCCCAGCTGCTCAACTCCATCCTCCAATAACCGCGCTTTCTCTCCCACTTCCTGCTATACCTTACGTGATGTGTGTGTGTGTAACGGCAGGGTGACACGTGTGACTCACTCAACGCCCTCTTCTCCACGCAGATACAGCCGCTCAACCCTGCCCTCACCTGCTCCGACGGGCCCAGGCCTGGCCAGGTGAGCATCGGTGCAGGTGGGTGCAGGTGGTTACAGGTGGTTGCAGGTGGGTGCAGGTGGGTGCAGGTGGTTGCAGGTGCAGGTGGGTGCAAGTGAGTTAGGTGAGTGCATGTGAGTGTGAGTGCAGATACTCAGGGGAGTGCTTGCTGCAGGTATGTGTTGGTGGGTCTTGAGGGGTGGAGGTGGGTGTTGGTGAGTGTAGGTTGGTCATGGGGGGTGTAGGTGGAGGTGAGTGTAGGTGGGTGCAAGAGAAGGCAGGTACGGTGTGAACTGATGCTGCTGCAGTGACAGATCATCAGGGCAGCCCCTCTTTATACAGGTCTTTGGAATCAGGGTGACTTTTGAGTCAACTCAAAGATCATCAGGGCAGCACATCTTTATACAGGTGTCTAGGATCTGAATGCTCGCACTTGAAGCTGTTTTCCACTAATTTGTAGCGAGGTTGTTTTTGAGACGTCTCAAAAACACCCTCGCTACACATGACAATGACACATCATCAGGGCAGCACATCTTTATACAGCTGTCTAGGATCTGAATGCTCACATTTGAAGCTGTTTTCCGCTAATTTCGCCAGGGTGTGAATGCCCGCTCTTTGAATCTGCTAGTTTGAGATATTACTGCTTGAGATATGACTGGTTGGTCATTGATTGGCTACTGCTCATCAAAACTACATCACATCGCATTGCATGGCATCAGATCACATCACATCACATTAAATGGCATTGCATCATGTCACATCACACAATCTGTTCTCCAAACTAGATCTCCACAGAAACGGGAGTGTGTTCACACATTCCTATTCCCTCTCTCTTCCCACTCCCCCATTCTCATCCATCTCCTTCTCCTCCCCTCTTCCCCCTTCTCCACGTTTTCTTCACACATTCATCTCCCCCCTCTCCCCCATCTTCCTTCTCTCCCTTTCTCCTCCCTCTCCCCCTTTTGCCTCCCTCTCCCCCTTTCTCCTCCCTCTCCCCCTTTCTCCTCCTTCTCTCCCTTTCTCCCCCCTCTCCCCCCTCTCCCCCTCTCTCCCTTTCTCCTCCCTCCCTCCTTCACAGCTCCTCTGCGTAGCCTTCAACCAGACGTGGCTAGGGGAGGATAGAACCCGCATCTCATGCAAACTCCAAGCCCAAATCACCCCGGCAGTATGCACAACAACCCCATCAACAGCCCTCAACCACCCCCGTGTTCTCCCCCCTCCCTCCTTCCCAGCTCCTCTGCGTCGACGCCAACCAGACATGGCTAGAGGCGGGAAGAACCCGCATATCATGCAAACTCCATGCTCAAATCGCCCCAGCCATGACACCAACCCCATCCCCAACCCCACCGAGCCCTCAACCACCCCCTCCTCCTCCGCCTCCAGCCAACTACACGATCCTAGGTGTGCCCGTGACTGTGCTACCAGGCCTGCAGAGCTGCCAGCAGCTGTGGCGGGCATTTGGCGTCGCCTCTCCCTCGCGCTTCTTCCAGATGAATCAGGGCCTCTCGTGCGATGCACTGCTGCCGTACAGCCCCCTGCAGGGCAATATGATGAGAAGGGTGAGTTGGGTTGCCTGTGTGCGGTGGGTGGGGAGGCAAGTGGGGAGACGCGCAGTGTTTGCCATCGCCTTCCCCACGCGCTTCTTCCAGATGAATCCCAACCTCTCGTGCGACTCGCTGCTGCCGCACAGCCCCCTGCAGGGCAACATGATGAGTCGGGTGAGTCGGAAAGGTCTGCGTGGGGTGCAGGAGAAGGAGGTTATACGCTATACGCTGCAAATCGTACCTGTGCCTGTGCCAGTGCCTGTGTCTGGTGCCGCTGTCGATGTCTCTGCCTCTGCCTCTGTCTCTGTCTCTGCCTCTGTCTCTGTCTCCGTCTCTGTCTTTGCCTCTGTCTCCGTCTCTGCCTCTGCCTCTGTGTGTGAAGGTTATTCAATGCAGTTTCTTTTTCTTCCCCTTCTATCCTGTTCCTCACTGATGGTTGACTCACAGATTTGTGTGGCTAGTGTTGACGGCCGGCCGTTATCTGGCAATACATGTTCAACCAAGCGATTGTACAGTGTGAGGCGCGGAGATACTTGCGGCATGTTGATCGCTAAGAGATACCGTCGCAAGATTGACTTGTTTAGGTATCTTAACAATGGGTATGATTGTACTGTAAATAGGTTGTGGACTGGCTTGTTGCTTTGTTTACCCTAATCTACATATCCACCATGTGCTGAAACGTCAAAGCAAGGTCTTGCATTTTTCAGCAGAACCAGTAATAGTAGAGTCTGAAAGTTCCACATGTTCGGTAGTGTACGCCGATTCAACAGCATTGTATCCACGGAGTGTACTGTAAGGAATTTGGCATTCCTGCTGAGTGAAGTACTTTTCAAGAATATAGGGCGTGTTAGGGCGTATCTTGGGTTTGGGTCATGAGCACTGTACAGGGCATCCGCATTTTGCGCATGACCCAAACCTCCTCCCCAAAGTGCGCGCGATTCGAACCTCGGGTCATTCTCAAAATTGCATGCGACCGTCAAACAAAATGTCTCCTCCACCAATCACAGTGCTGTGCGACCCCATGCTAATCAACCCCTCTGTATGCTGCCGTTCGCTATGTGTCTCATGCTGAAACCCTAGCGTGGGGAATCTGCTGTTGGGGAGATGGGTTGGGATGGGTTCTGGAACCGCGCAGAACTGAATGTGACCCTTCCCGCCAGGAATTTTGACGGTAGCGTGGGAGGGGTCAGTCGGCCTCACGGCCGGTGGTTGTTCATGTTTGTGCATGTACGACTCGGCCCAATTGGACGCGACGTGTGTTACCACATTTTTTTCTGGCGCGGAATTTTGCGCGCCAAACAAATTGTCGCATGGGGCGATTGACTCGATTGACTCGAGGATGGTGTAGCGTGTAGTTCCGGGCATCCGCAATTAGCGCATGCCCGGAACAGTGCTCATGACCCAAACCCAAGATACGCCCTTAAAGTTTTTGTTTTTGACGGTACGGTCAGCCGGCTGCCCGGTCGCTCGTAGGGTAACCAGAGTCGTCTTGCATATTATTCGACACCGCATTTCTTTTTGTTTTAGTAACCCCACAAAAATCCGGACGGTCAGCCGTCCAGACGACTATAATAATAGAATGTAACACGCCCTTAGACGAGCTCAGGGAGTGTGATGCGAGGGTCCGCTTCCTCACGATATGACTGGTCACGCCCTCAGCAAACAACTCTCATCCTTGCCTAGCCATTCCCTTCATTCACCAACAGCACTCATCCCATCCACAAACAGAAGCAGCTGGAGTCTCGTATCAGTTGTCTGCTGTTGTCCTTCCCAATTAGGTTACCTTGTACCATGGTTTGATTTCGTCTATTTCGTATGCGAGCCGTCGTCAGCTTCTTGCTCCCACACACCTCAACAATCAGATACCGTTTTTTTTCTCCATTCCATAAAGCGAAACGCTTTGCTATCTCTCTTGTAGGACATAGCGCTTGCGACTCCGTTCCATTTACAATTGACAGATCGAACCAATGGCGAAGCGAGGATTCGACACGGAATATTCCGTTTTAGACGACGCGAGGGGGGATTCGGAGGAATGCAAACGGCACAAAATCGAAACGGACGACACCGTTGTCAGGCTTCAGGAGCTGTTGACTGTCCTTAGCAAGAAGGTGGAAACTATTGAACAGACCCTGGTTGAAGACAGAGAAGCGAGTAGGTCAAGCATTCGACGGTTAGAGGATGACCTAGCACGGGAGAGGGCTGCAAGGGAGGATAAGGAAATGGAGGTGCATGCGTTGTCAGCGCGCCTGGCGCATGCAGAGGAAGCGCTGGCTCAGCGGAAGGAGGAGATGCGGAAGGTCTGGGAGGTGAGACGTCGCGAAAGTCGCCACCTCTGATTGCGTGTCATGGAATTCGGAAGGAGTTCCTGTCGTTTTGTGGTTGCTGATCATTTCGCACCATAATTGCTGATTTTTCCGCACCATAGTTGATGGTAAGCCGCACCATGGTGTCTTATTATTCCGCACACTCATTCCTGCCATACTTTCAGGCAATTCCGGAAGCCGTTCGTCATCTTCCCACAGAGGAGGACAAGCAGATCATCAGTCTCCACCCTGAAACCACCGAAATCACGCTCAATGACCCTTCTCACCTGACACTCTTCGGTTTCCTTCGTCTCTCCTGCATGCGATCCCTCAAGAGCATCTCCGTTATTGGAAATCTCGAGAAGCCTGCTCTTCTGCACCTCTACTCCATGACATGGCTGGAAGAGCTGAGACTGGAATCGGTTTCCGAGCCCTTGTTGCCTGAAATCGCGAATCTTAAAGCCCTTCGCCATCTGGAGTTGCGTGATACTCCAATGTCAGGTAATGGGCTTGCTAACCTCACAACCCTGTCCTCGTTACAGAGTCTTGTTCTGTCTCACCAGTTGTTTGGGGGGAGCTTCACGTCTGATAGCATGGTATATGTGGGAAAGCTGGGAAATCTGGAGCACCTGGATATTGCTAATACGCAGGTGTGTGATTACGGGTTATGGTGCCTTACCCCTCTGGTCAAGTTAAGATGGCTTAGCCTCCCCCCAAATATTACCTATCGGGGGATGGAGTACCTAAAGTGTTTCAGGTCGCTCAAGACTCTTTTGCTGAGGTTTCAGTTTTTCGTTGAATGCTTGAAAGCGTTCCCTTGCCTCGAAAACGTAGGAGTTAGCGATCACCACGCACTAGAAAAAGTGAAGCTGGTCCTTCCAGGCATTAATTCGTTCGTTATTGGTGCATAATCATGCTACATTATTGAGTGTTTTTTCCTTGCACCTTCCAGTACCTACTGTAGCCATGTGTAATGGTTGAATGATGGGAGCAGGCTGGCAAGGTAGGCTGCCATTCAGTGTTCACGTGGATGGAGGTCTGACTGAGTACTCAGGGTTGGTAGTAGTACTTGCGGTTGGTAGTGTGAACTCGGGGGGAGTGGGGGAGGTGTTAGGTTGCTTGCTAGTAGTGAGGAATTTGGAAGAGGTTTCTAGGGAATTGCTGAGGGAAAGGGGGACGTTTGGTTGCAATGCAAGGGCAAGATTGTCTGCGGGGCGGGGTGAGTGGTGAAAGGTGCGAGAAAAGGGCTGGGTTGCAAGAAACGAGACGAATAGGGAATTGGGAGGTGGAAGAGGCGCAAGTGACATATGGAGTTGGATTGGAAGAGGCGGGAAGCACTTGGAGGGGGGGAGGATGGAGGGGGGCAGTGAAGAGGAGGAAGAGAAGCAGGGTGGGAGAGGGTGGGGTGGGGGGGGCTGTGACTTTGTGATAATCATGAGGTATTATGGGAGTTGGGCAGGGAGAGGTGCGAGCGAGGGACTGGGGGAGTTGGGCAGGGGGAGATGCGAGGGACTGGGGCAGTTGGGCAGGGGGAGATGTGAGGGACTGGGGCAGTTGGGCAGGGAGAGATGCGAGGGACTGGGGGAGTTGGGCAGGGGGAGATGCGAGGGTCTGGGGGAGTTGGGCAGAGAGAGGTGCGAGGGCCTGAAAAGCTGAACTTGGTGATGAGCGGGGTAGGAGAGGGGGGGGGGGGGGGGGGGGGAACGGGGGGTGGTGGGGGGAGGGGGAGGGGTTAGTGGGGGGAGGGAGGGAATCAGGCTGTGAGAAGCATTAGACTCTGGTGGTGGGTCGGAACTTGGAAAAGGCATACGGGATCAAGGGACGTGGGATGTGCGAGGCGTACGGATGGAGGTATACGTGTACCTACAAAAGGTGGCCGGGATAGATTGGGCAAGTTAAGCTGGGGAGAAGGAAGAGTTGGAATGTGAGATTAATAAACAAAGAAATTTTAGCATCCCGTGGGAGTATCAAGAGGAAGTGAAAACGCCATTCTGAACAGCTTACCACCATCCCAAAAATAGGGTCCTCCGAAAAGTATGGTTTCCGAGAGTATGTCTGACGTAACAAATTGAACTGAGTGGGGAAACCTACTTTCGACGCGTTGCGTCGAAATGGAATCAGCCCAAGTACCTTCGGAACCCTCGTAAGGGCTGTTGGGCTGAAAAACGCCCTAGGATCTTTGTAGAACTTAAAGTCTGAGTAGGATTGTAATAGCGGAAGCGTTAAGTAAAAGAGGCTTGAACCACCTTGCGCTGGTATGTGAGGGCAAAGTAAGTTGATAATAACAAAGAGATACAAGCTTATATAGTAGTACAGAGAATACGAATAGATAAAACTGTTTTACTGTTGCGATTCGATACAGTGCGACTCGGGCAACTGCTCAATGTCGAGTCAGTTGTGTGTCCTTGCTGTCGCGCTGTATTTGTCAAGTCAAAGGTCGCTGACCTTTGACCTTCACGTAACCTCCAACGGTTGTTTCAACCTCCGAGGGTTGACTCGCGAGTGCTTCGGTGTAGTTTGCCTCGCTTCTTGTACAGTGTTTCGACACGACTGGAGCGCTTAAGTCTGATTGTTTCCAACACTCCCCTTCGCTTCTGGAGTGTCGCTGCTGGTGACGTGGCTCTGTCCAGTCAGCAGCATGCAGTACTCGAACTTCTGCTTTCCGAGCTTCTTGGTCAGGTAGTCAGCTGCCATCTCGGATGTAGGACAGTATGACAGCTGGAGTCTCCCCTTCTCGATCTCGTCCTTCACGAAGAAGTAACGCAGGGCGATGTGTTTCGTCCTGTTCGCGAAGCCGTTCTTGTTGGCGATGCGAATTGCTGACTGGTTGTCGCAGAACACGGTGAAGCTAGGTAACTCGGCCAATTTTGCTTCTTCCAGCAGTTCGCAAAGGTAGAGTCCTTCCTTGGTGGCTGAGCAGAGTGCAATATATTCTGCTTCGGCTGAGGATAGTGCGATTAACTCCTGCTTGCTCGACTGCCAGGAGATAGGACCGATAGGCTCAAGGCGGTAGACGTAGCCGGTGCGTGAGCGCCTGTTGTCAGTGTCGCCGGCGTGGTCGGCGTCGACGTAGCCGATTAACTTAGTCGGTGTAGCTGCGTGCTTGTGGTAGGTTAGTCCAATCGTCGCGGTGCTGA